CCTCGGTAATCCTGCCGGGTCGAGGGGCAGCTCTCAGCCCTGCTCTTCAGGAAAGCCGAAGGACTCGCTGAATGTCATCTGGTAGAGTGGGGACTAGATGCAGGGCTCTTGGCCCTCGGCCTGCGCCCTGTTGTCATGGGTCACGGTGCCTACCAGACCCCAGCCTGTGGTGATAGAGAGGGTCTTCCCTGGGGGAGGTCACGCTGCAGGTCATCCTGGGTGGTGAGAGGAGGAGGAGGGAGACCACACAGAAACACACACACACACACACACACACACACCCCATGCACTAGCAGCCGCCAGGACCACCAGGACAGCACAATCTAATCTTTCCTAAAGTGAGCTTTGCCTCCTCCCTTCCCCCTCTGCTTTCCTCCCATCTCTGTCCCTCACCTGTTCTCCCTCTTCTCTCTCAATCCCAAATGTCTTCACAGAAACACAACACCAGACCCAGTAAAGGGCTCTCATGGGGCCTTTCATGTCCCTAAACCTCTGTCTTTTCAGCTGTAAAATGGGCAGCCCTGAGGTTAAGAGGGGGAGACTCATGAACCTCAGGCCCCTCAGGACCAGACTCCCTGTGACTCTGAAGTGTGGGGCCCTTGGGCTTGGCTGTGGGCAGACAGGAGCCTGGTGCCTGGTCAGTGGGGAGCCTTGGGTGGCTGCTGTTGTGTGACCCCCCCAACTTTGGGCCTAGCAGAGACCCCCGACTGTCTTGCTTCAAGCCTGGGCTCTTCCACTGCAGTACTCCGCCTGCCAGCAGAGAACAGCAACATAACCCTCACACAGAACTCTCTGGAGAGACAATCATGCAGGCATACGTGCAAATCACATGCGAACAGACTCCCAGCCCTTCCCAAGTGTGGCTTCACAGAGAGAGCCCCTGTTTGAAGTCAGTAGATCCGGGTCTGAATCCCACTGTGTTCCCAGGGAAACAGCACCCCGAATCTGTTCATCTATCTGTAAATGGAGTCAATGGCATTGCAAGTCAGTCCAGTTCCTATCACTGGTCCTACTTTCTTTAGGCCTGTCACTCATGCCTATTAAGGACGTCCCCTGTGGCCAGCACTGAGTTCGGCACTGAGTTCAGCACGTACAAAATAGTGGCAGAGGTGAATGTCCCTGTGCCCCTGGGGCTCACGGCCTGAAGGGGACGAACTGGAAGAGCAGGTACAAGCCTCAGTCCCCAAGTCGCAGCAGAACAGGAAAGGTTCCTTTTCTTATTTTTCTATAACTGAACCAGTTTCCAAGTGCAGGTCCCATTCTGCCAGGAGACAGAGACTTAAACTGAGGTTTGGGGGTCCCCTTCCCCCCAAATTGCATGATTTCAGCAAAGAGTTCTGATCCTCGTGGGCGTAGTAGAAAAATAAGCTTGTCACCAGCTCTTTTCATTGCTTCCCTCACACCTACCACAGCCTCCTGACTCTGGGCCCTGATCCCTGCAGAGCCCCTGGAGGTCACCACCGGGCCAGATGGACCCTAGTTCCTGACTGCAGCCTCTTTATGTCTGCTGGCTCTCTGCCTTGTCTGCCCCTGACCCCTTTGTCCTGCCCTCTGGTATCATTACTTACTGCTGCCTCCAGGGGGCGCTCTCCAGAGCAAGGTTCTGCCCCTGTGCTCCATCATGGTCTTCATATTCTTTAGCCAGACCAGCAAGTCCCTGTTTACCTCTCCTGCTTCGGTCTCATCCTCCCAGCCCCACACCGTCAGCCAAACCAAGTAAGAGCAGCAACTAAAACAACACAGGAATGCACGTTCTGCACGCCAAACACATCGCCTCTGTTAATTTACTGAGACCCTCGTAATAATCCACGAGGTAATTGTTATTATTCTTTCCTTCCAAACTGGAGAGAAACTGAGGAACCGAGAACTAAGGCCACCCAGGCAGTCAAACGTAGAGTCCAGCTTCAGAGTCTGTGCCTTGAAACTCAAAGCCGTGCCTCCCGCAACAGAAGAGCCTGTTAGCGAACAGACCATCTGCTTTCTCGCTGCCAGGCCTTTGTGCAGGGATCCCCCTACCAGGGACCCCGTCTCCTGGCGCCCCTTTCACCTGGCTCCCTGCCTCGTCCTTTGTGTCCCCAGAGCCCGGCTGGGCTCCGATGGCTCCCTGGGCTGTTCCCAGCAGAGCCCTCGCCTGTGGGCGCCGTGGGAGCTGCTTCCCTACCACACACCCTCTGAGGCAGGAGCTCTTCTTCATCTTGGAACGTCAAGTTGTGATGTGGCCCTTGCCGTGACTGTCTGTGGAATGAGTGATTATCAGTTCACCTCACCCCATGCTTTGTCGAGGTCAAATGGATTCCTGGGGCCAGCCTACCGATGGGCATTCATCGGGCACCTGGAGAAATACCAACAACAGAGTTCAGCTGTGGTTTGCCCGGCGGGGCCACCGTGGCCAGGCTGATGCGGCTGGCTCTGCTTTCAGATCCTTCGCCACGTTCCCTCTCCCCCTCCAGGCTATGCAGCCTCCCTGCCATCCTGCTTCCTCCCACCTTCAATCGTGTTTACCGAAGGGGCAGAGGCTGATCTTAAGGGGCTGATAGCGTCTCCCAGCAGGAGGGAGATTATTCTCCTCGCTTGACAGATGAGGATTCTTCTGCTTTGGGAGAGAGAAATAAAATAGATGGAATCCCAGACTGTCAGCGTGGGATGCATCCTGCAGAGTTATTGAGTTCTTTCTCCTAATTTTAAACACAAGAGAAGGCCAAGAGACTTTCTGACAGTCTCTGTGGTCCAGGTCCTCTGTCTGCTGGCTTACTGGCTTTTCCAATTCAGTACCTTTGTCCCCAAACCCCATAGTTAGTACATGTCCCAGACCAGGACTCCTAGTTCTAAAATCCATTCTGTTTGTCACTGCCCTCCATGTCTTTCAACCTTTTATCTGTGTGAGTTTATTGAAGCACATTATAATTTTCAGGTTCTAGGTTAGGCCATTAGACTAGGGGAGTTCTAACCCAGTCACGTTCCAGACCAGGTGTTATTTTCTATACATCAACATGAGGAGACCGGTCAGAGAGAGCACGAAACTTCTCTAGATAAGAACCACTTAGACTTCAAATACAGCTTCCAGGTACACACTCGCCCTGTTTCCTAGGCCCATGCAATGCTTTTGGCCCATGGCCAGGGATGGAATTTCCTCTCTACCCTTACTGTCTCCAACATTTTTCTGTATATTCCTCTCCATTTACCACCATCTCCCCTAAAGCAAAGTGAAAGGTCCCCTCCCAATTTCCTGATCAGTGGAAGTGATGCCTGCTGAACTGTGTCTGACCTCAAGCCATGAACGGAGCCTACAACCTCTCCTCTCTGTGCCCGCCCTTTCTGGGTGTGGGAGCTCTGGGTGGCTGCAGCCTCTGGTCTGGCTTTGTTTTCTCTCATCCTTTTATTAGCTGCCTAATTGGCAGGCCAATTAATCTGTTCATCTGTGAAGGAGGATGGATCACAATGAGCTACTCCATTTTCAGAAGCCAATCTCTGAGGCAGCGTGGCCAGGCCCTGAGCGCAGGCTGGCTTCTTAATGAAGGGCTGCCCGGGAGCCGGGGTCAATTAGTGGACAGATTAAGCAATTACGAGCCCCTAACAAGGGTGTCTGGCATCATTACCCTGCCTGTTTACTGACAAACTGCAGCTTTAATATGAAGAGCAACAAATAAATTAGGGCATCTGGTCTACTGCCACATCGGACAAGAAGTAAATGGTGTCCAAGTGGCTTTGGGGCTGTCTGTGGATTCTCAGCCTGGGCCTGTGAAAAGCCTGAGCTGTCCCTCACTGGCCACAGCAGCTCTGGAATGTGCTCCAGAGTCGTTGATCATTCCAAGAGCTAAGTGCCTGCCGCTGGGCATGGGATTGTTCTTCGTTACCCCGCTGCCCTCCTCCTGTCCGTCTGTCGACACCTCCTTATGTTTCAGGATCCAACTCAAAGCTTCTTTCTCCCTGGTGCCTCCTCCGCTCTCTCCAGCAGGAATGGAGCTCCCGTTCTGCCTTTTGGGAGGGTTTTGTACTCTCCTATTACTTTCCAGCATCACAGTCATTTTGTGGGATGCCGGAGTGCCATTTTGCCCATTTTTTTAAGGTCTTAGAGAAGCAGAAGCATGGAGAAGAGGAGGGAAAAGGCAAGGCCTCAGAGTTGTTTGTTTTTCACCCCCTCTCCTGTCGATGTGTGCAGGCCGTCGCCGGAAGGGTAACCCAGAGGAGAATGGCAGGGTCGGACTGGCACTTCAGAGAGCAGCCTCCGGCTGCAGTGCTGAGGGCACATTTCAGAGCTGGTTGCTGTCATCCAGGCCAGATGTGACGGTGGCGCAGAGTAGGGAGACACAGAGGGGTGGGGCGGGGGCAGCCTTGCTAGGTTCCAAGAAGAGACTTGGGACTGCCTGACTATGGGAGGGGGCTCATGGAGAATCCACCTTCCTAAATTCAGTGACCTGGAGGCAAGGGGGTGTTGGTGCCAGTGAGAAGCAACACTTGGACCCTGCAAGTGAGGAGAGGGGAGTTGGGAAAACGCTGAAGAAGGCTCTCTCCTCATGTGACTGGAGCCAGATTCTGCCTCTCCACTTCCTGGTGTGCCCATCGGCAGCGTGATGACGACGTTGATCTCTAAGGTCCCTGACTCCATGGTCATCAGTTTGATGTCAGTATTTGGCTACCGTAGTTCACTGTGCAACTTACGCTGCCCCTCCCCCATCTCTGCCTGTCCAAACCCTGAGGGCCCTCCAAGGCACAGCTCCAGTTCTGTCTTTTCCCAAAAGTTTCCCCTGTGATTCCTCACAGGAAATGCTCTCTCCATCCTGCCCAGGGGCTTCAATATTACACCCTGAACTATCTCTGGGAAACAGAGAGATTTGTAAAATTCATTGGCAGCACCTAATCCATAGCCATACACCCACGGTGGCTTAACAACAAAGACCCCAAATCAAATAGTGAGCTCTCACTGTTTTCCAAGCTGAGGAAAATGTGTTCCCTCCTTCTTAAAACACGGAAGGTTAACCTGGATGCTTCTGTTCCCCTAGGGATCATTGACTTCCTCATAAGCCAGCACCCGGTTGCCCGTGTCCTGCGGGAACACCTGGTCTTCAAGATTGCACCAATGCTCAACCCTGATGGAGTCTACCTGGGCAACTACAGGTGGGTGACGGGAGAGGCTGCGCGGAAGCTGGTAGTCATAGGATGATGGTACAGAAGCAAGAAGAGAAAGGGGATGTATTTTTGAGGAAGGATATTCAGATTCCCCCTGAGTTCATCAGAGGAATTTTCACCCTGGCTCTTGAGAATACAGCTAATGAACCTTGGCTGTTTCTTGCACAGCTGCCTGAGATCACTTGCTGGCATTGTCTGGACAGCTTTCTGGACTAGGGATCAGGGGGTCTAATATCAGTTTTGGCACCTCCTTCTTATGTAACCTTGGGGAATACGCTTGCCCTCTGATGGTCAGCTTCTCTTGCAAAATGGAGACAATAATCGTCAGACACTAACCTGCCAGGGCACTTGCGAGCATCAGAAGAAATGGTGGAGATAAATGTGCTCTGCAGAACACTGTGTGGAAGTCACAGTGCGTACTGTTTTGTATCTGCATTTCTTCTTGGAGATCATTCATGACGGGTGCCTTCCGGGGCATCCGAGGAGCATTTCTTTGTGCGGGGCAGACCCGCCGGCCCCACACTCACTCATGCGCCCACGTCTTCAGTTCTCTTTCTCCTGGTAGCACCATAATTTACAGCCTCACTTCCAGTGCTCAGCAGTCGTCTGCTGAAAGGACATTGGGTCCTCTCAGATTGGGTTGCTGTAGTGCCCTTATTTCACAGTGGAGGATACTGACTTGCCCAAAGTCACACACCAGTAAATCACTGACTGCCTAACTTCGCTGCCCAAATCATATAGCTTTGTTGCCGATTAGTCCAACGACAACCCTGTAGAAAACATCCAAACTTCTGAACTCTGCTTGCAAGGCTCTGCACCCTGGCGCCTGTCTGTCCCCCCTGCTGCCTCACCTCCCGCCCTCTACTCTCAGAACTGTTTCTGCAGCCACACTAAGCAAAGCCTTGTTCTCTAGACATGTCCCGTTGGTCTCTGATACCTTACGCTCTGCCCAGGGCCTCCTCATGCCCTCTTCATCTCACTGACCCTCTCCACAGCTCAGCTGTGCCCCTCCTTCTGGAAAACGTTCCTCAGCCCCCCAAACAGAACTGGTCACTGCTGTCTCTGAGCTCTCAGCAGCCCGGTTATTGAGCAAGTTTGATCCTATCACATGGACCCCACTGAGCCTCCAGCCACCAGACAGCAGAGACTGAGCCTTCATAATGCGTGTGTACCCCAGGGCCTAGCAGCAAGGATCAGCACATAGCAGATGCTCGAAACGTGTCTGACGGGTGTGAGTGAAGAAAAGCAATGATTTCACTGATGAAGCAACTGAGGCTCCAAGATGAGACAGGATGTGCCCAAAGTTGGTGGCAGAGCTCAGACCAGAATGCAGACTCTCTGATACCCAGCCGGCTTCATTTTAAACAGAGCTGGTTTACTACTTTCCAGGAGCATGGCAGCTGGGTCCAGAGGGGCCCCCTCGTCCCCGTGGGTGTGAGTTAGAGAGAGCCCATGGGATGCATGATGCCTTAATTAAAGACAATTTTGCTTCCTCTCTTAATTGGCTTGAGAGATGGTTCATTAGCGCTGGCAGGTTTTATGGCTCACTGCAGGCCTGAGAGTGACGCCTTTCTACCATCCCTAGACAGAATGTACTGTTAGTGATAACGGTGGCAGAATGACCGCTTGATTTATGTTAACATTTCTGCTTAATTACAAGAGCCGCAGTGGTCAGAGAGAGGTCAATGCTGTCCACTCCACACACATATTTATGTCATCATCTGCTGTCCAGGGATGATGAGTGGAAAGAGGTCTGTGACCTCAGCCGAACGGCCTCCCCCTCGGGGTTTTGGATGGCCAGTGGGGTAGTGATGGGGGCCTAGATGCTCTTGTATGTCTCCAGGCTCCAGATTTTTTGATTTGGGATTTCAGGATGAAAGAGCTCCAACCCTCAGAATGTGTTCTGTACCGATTTAAAACCCCCGGTGTTCTCCTCGTGAGAATATGGGATTCTCATTATGAGAGCTGGAGAAAACCTCTGACCACAGGCATTAATCCTGGTGCTAAAGCAGCGCAGCATAGCAACAGAGGAGCCGATCCATCATGAAAATTCACTGCTCCAGATTGGGGGTGTGTGGAAAATAATAGCGAAGGCTCAGAGGTGGGAGCTTCAAGGTGCCTCAGGGCCCCCCAGGGCCGGCCCCTCCCGAGCCTCCCACTGTTGCGACTGCAGCCCCCCAGCTCGCCGGGGCTTCCCACGGCATTATGGGGAATGGCGGGGAACAATCCAGGGTTCAAGTAAGTTTGGGAAACACAGAGCTTAGGAAAGTTAAATATGTTCTTTTACAAAAGGATTTTTTTCAGTTTTGAAAATGCTAACACACAGGAATCTAAAAAGGAGAACATAGCATCTAATGTTTTCCAAATGTATCAAGGAACTTTTTGCTATAGAGCAGGGGTGTCAAACTCATTTTCACTGGGGGCCACCATCAGCCTCCTGGTTGCCTTCCAAGGGCTGAAATAATTTTAGGATTGTATAAATGTAACTGCTCCTTAACTGCTAAGGAGTTGAAATTACGTTTGGCCCTTTGAAGGCAACTGTGAGGCTGATGTGGCCCCCAGTTAAAATGAGTTTGACACCCCTGTTCTAGAGCTTGTTCTGCTCACCTACTCCCTCCCTTGGCCCCCACAGGTATTACAGTTTATAAACACATTGCAGGAAATGCCACTCCAAGAATTGTTGCTCCCCCAGCGCCATGTCGAGCACTCCCACACTTACCTCATTTAATCCTTGCAACCACCACGTGAAGGGAAGGGTAGTCTTTGTTAAGGTTTCTGTGCTTGCAAATAATAAACATCTCAAATTAGCTTGAGTACAGGAGGAGAGTCAGGAAGGAGGGGGCAGGTAAGAGAGGAGAGAAAGGCAGGGGGGACGGAGGGAGGGAGGTCACTTGTCAGGGTTCTAGGACAGTATGCAGAGTCAGAACGGATCGCAGCGCTGGAGACGGGTTGGCACGCATGCGGCCTGTGGGCCGCGCGGAGGCTGGCTCTCTCTGCCGTGCCCTCCGACTTTCGCTTTCTCAGCATCGCCTCAGGATGTTGTTGGACGCTTCTCAGGCCTCAGTGAAGGGAAGTCACCTGCCTTAGGTTGTGTGGCCCTGAGGAGCAGGCAGGGGTGCAGGTCCGTCCAGCCTCAGCCCATGCTCCCTACTCCCTACCCCCGGCCACCAAGTGCCCCCTGCAGCCCGCATCAGGCATTGCAGGCCCGAGTGAAAACCAGACACAGGCCTGCCCAAGAAGCACCTCTTCTCTCCTCCTCTTCCCACCCCCACACTTCTCCACTTCTCCTTCTCCTTATCTCCTTCTGCATGAAAGGAACATGGGACGCAATCTAGGAAGGACAGTCAGATTCGATCATGCACAGCTGATGTTTAAAAATACAAGTATCCACACCATCGTGTTTACAGTGAGCTGGACAAGGTGTACCCTAGCATTTAATTACAAGAGGTGGCAGCTGTGTCACAATAGGTAATGCTTCTTATGTTAAAGAACAGCATCATTTACTAACTAGACTACTGTATACAGTGCCAAACGTCAACTGGGAGTGCTATGCAGGGCCCTTACCAAAGTCCATAGCAATTAAACCGCATGCTACAGTAGCCCTCTGTAATAGTTAGGTGATGTAAACAGCAGGTAACAATGACATTACAGCATAAAATAAAGACACAGGTCAACTGTACACTCTGTGTTCCTTCCTACACTCCAATTGCACTGGCCTTTTTTATAGTTTGTGTCTGAAGTTAATGCAAATTCACTGAAGGCCTTCCCTGAGGCTCCAGCATGAAGTGGGTTTCCCATCATACTCTTTTGGAGCATTTTGTTCTGTTCTGTCACAGCCCTTGGCCCAGTAAGTGATCCTGTGTTTATTTCTGTGACTATTTGTTTAGTGGCTCTATCTGTAGACTGTAAACTCCATGAAGTCAGGACTCGGTCTATCTGTCCCCCGAAGCCTGGCATGGTGCCTAGCACAGAACAGGATATATATATATATATATATATACACATAATCTGAATGAATCAATAAACAAAGCAGGGCTTGGCGGTTGTGCAGAGTCAGGGTCGCAGAGACCCAGAGCAGAGTGGTGTGGCCTGCCAGGCAGGGAGGGAAGCGGGAATGGGGAGTTTAGTGGGTACAGCATTTGTTTTACAAGATGAACAGAGTTTTGAAGTCAGAGAGTGGTGGTGGCAGCACGACAGTGTGAAGGTACTTAATACTCCTGAACTGTGCACATGGAAACGACTAAGATGACACATTCATGTGTATTTTACCGCAGTAAAAGAAAAAAGAAAAAGAAAGGTAGGACGATCGATGCACTGCGAACATTCTGTAGAGTTCTGGGAGGATCTGGGGCCTGGAGGTCTCGAGGAACGAATACTGTGCCTTCGAGTGTTACGAAGCCCAGAAGCTGCAAGGCGCCTCCCAGCCGGAAGGCCATTGGGTTGGGGGGCTGGCCGAGTCCGTCTGTCATCGGCTGGCACTTCTCAGCGTCCATCCGGGAATGTGGCTGCCCACACACAGCACAGCATTTGCACCGTCTCTCTCTCCCTCTGCCACCTCCTCCTCCCCATCACTTCCCTCTGCAGAAAAGACAGCCCCCACCTCCACCCGTACCCCACCGAGTGTTCTCCTGAGCGTGTGCAGCCGAACACGTTGCCTTGCATTTGAAAAACAGACCCTCCTTCTCCACATGACAATGGGAAACCGTGTTGGGTTTGCATTTCCTAATTAGGTGCTTGTCATTGTGTATTCCACTGAGCCACGTATAAGTAAACAGTCACAGACCTTTGAATAAATTTATTAGTTTTATTTATGTTTCTGGGCATAAAAATCTATAATTACCAGGTACAGCCTCAGCATAACTGGTATTTAATGACAATTACTTTTTGTTACCATAGAAATGAGTCCAAAGTAGTTACCCATAATTTCTCATTTCCCAAACCTCACACATGCTGGATTGCAATATTACCATAGTAATTGCCTATTAGTC